ATTATGGTACGATCGTTGAATATACGATTAGTTTTTAGAATGGAAGAAAGGATTTTTACATATGAATTAAAAAGGAACTGTATAAATGGGAAAGCTGATTATTTGCACGATTATTGGAATATACGATTAGTTTCAGAACAGAAGAATTTATATGTGAATTAATTTATCATATATTAAAGATAGAGATTTGTCAGGTATTTAAGATATATAAAATTTAACCTACAGGAAGTTTACATATGAATTGATAAGAAATTTCTAGAATACAAATATTCCGTTTATTTGGATTATAAATTATTTCAAATTTTTCCACAAATGTAAAATTTGGTTAGTATTTGATGAATTTTCCACTTTAAGAAATCGAAACAAATATCAAAGCGTATTTATTTGTTATTACAATATGTTAAAATACGTTGTAATTAATAAGTGATATTTGTGGAAGAATTTCTTTTAAGCGAATTGATTGATACTATGACATTTGAAAAATAATTATTGTAAAAGAATTTGCATTTGAAAATGAAAATAATGCGGAAATTTGAAAAAGCTATTAATGTTTTTATCATAGCATAAAGAGCTATCATCTGATAGAGAGAGAGCTGATAAAATGATAAGCTCTTATGATTTGATAAAATGGATAAGCTCACAAGATTCATTTTTTGATGTACTTTTTTTTGGTCGATTTCTGACTGAAGAAATCATTTCAAATTTAATTTTTAAACAAACTAAATGACAAGCAAAAATTTTTGCTGTTATAAGTGTAAATTTTGGGAGTTCAAAAAACGAAGTGGCTTGTAGCTTCCTCTTGACAGATACCCATAAACATGAAAAAAGAAAATTTCAATCAAAAATATGTGGAAATTTATTTGCAATCATTTTTAATGCATAATAAGTATTTACTTTAAAATGATCAATTATCAAATTAAGAATTTAGATAATGTATCATTTTATCAATAATTTATCATTTTATCAATTAAATGATAAAATCTACGACATGCAAATTGTAAACTTTTCGAAACAAATTTAATCTTTTTACTAATTAGCAATTTTACAATCATTAATATTTTAGCTAATTTTAATTTTTATCAATATCTTTGATAATATTTTCATTGTTGATTGATTATGCACATTTCCTATATCATTTGATATTATCACAGACTTTTTCAAACCCTTGCCATTAACAAGATTTTTACATATTATTTATTCGGCTTTCAATAGCAATAATATATTTTATTGATGGTGGAATGTGTTTTAGTTTGCATGAAATTAGTAACGAACAGAGGTTCAATTCAACAACATGAATTGAATGTATTATAAAATATTCTCGCGATACGTATGTTTTACTGCATGATAAATTTTCGGCATACAACGATTTCATAGAATTTTGAAGCATTTTTTTTTACTTAAATATTATCTGTTATAAATTGACTTTGATCTAAGATCACTCATAGTTCATGTAAAGTTTTAAAAAAGGTAATATTTTAAAATATTCCCTAGCACAGGTAAAAATTTCATTATAATTGATGACACACATAATCATTCGATTTTAAATCAATTTATAAGAAGAAAAATCATACCCTTCTGTGCATAAATAGTATGATGGGTAACCTGCTTTCTAGCAAAGTTCCACATCTCTGTCCTTATCATCTTTCTAATTCTCTTTTTCAAAATTTTATATTTAACCAAATATTATACTACAATGTAGAAATGTTCTAGTAAGAATAAATTAGCAAGACTTATTGCATTTCTTTTAACTTACTCAAACTAATATCTGTAATTGATCGGTGACCTTACTTTTAGTGACAGCTGTTGGCCGTTATATTATTTTCACTTTTTATTATATAACGGTGATCGCAAAAAAAGATCAGTAGAAAGATATGAAAGATGCATCATTTCTTTTAAACACCGACATATGTTATCTTATTAAGGTCCATTTCATTGTTCATCCTTTGGACTCTTCAGCGACTTTAAGTACCTTAAGTTATCAAGGTGATATTCCAAATAGATGGAATATCGTTTTGATAATTTTTTGTTTTGAAATTATCATGCAATCAGTAAATGCATTTACGAAATAGTTGTCAACATTCTTTAATGATTTTTTCATTCTTACAAATAAATAAACGGAATGATAATTTCGGTGCGTCAAATATATGTTGCACTATAAAAGATTGAAAGAATTGTTATTTGTTTGTAATCATTTATTTATGTTGTAAATCTAATAACATTTATTATTCCTATTAAATGTTTTTAATTCGAATAGATATTAATTGAATTTCAATTTATGCAAACATCATTAATGAGCCAATGAACGATCAAGAAATACGCAGACAAGAATAGCATGCGACGATAACGGAAATAACCGCATTGGTTTTCCAACCCAACAATTCTCATCTACCAAAATAACAGGTTTCATTCGATCACCACCGTCATGAAAATTGTTCAAAACGAACTTTTGATGATGCGATCTGTGTATACTTCCTCTTTATTCACTTCAATGAATATCTAACTCTTTTTTTCCTTCACATTTACACTTTCAATATAGAATGAATGATTGTCCTCTTCTAGCCTTTTCGAAGCGCAGATTGTGCTATAGTTTTTGTTCAGAAATAATTGGGAGTAAATCTTGTCAGGAAAGATACGTACTTTAAAAGGATCCTTCGTCCTATTCCTCCATACTTGAAAAGATAATATGATTAGTAAACAAAGCTTAAGCCTAAATATCAAGACTGTATTAATATCTCAGATATTATTGCAAAATGTCTTGATCGTAAAATAGTTATATTGTTGAAATTTCTGAAGGAATTTTAACTGCAATATTCGATGCTCATTTCATCGTATAAAGATTAATTTCAATGCAATGTTTTCGCATGATTTCATTGTATTTTAATTGTCACTTTCAAAGCAAAGTATAATTTTGTTCTTCCTTTTATCATTTATTCAAATTCGTCGCAACATCATTTTCGTTTGTCAAATTCGTCGTAATATCATTTTTGATTGCCAAATTCGCCGCAACATCATTTTTGATTGTCAAATTCGTCGCAACATCATTTTCGTTTGTCAAATTCATCGCAACATTATTTTTAATTTTCAACAATGGCATAAATTTAGTCTTAGTCAATCAAATATGAATTCTTTCATTTTTTTAATATTTTAAATGAGATTTGCAAATATTTCAACAAAACCAATTAATTTTGGAAATGAAGAAATAGTGTAGAATTTTGTAGAAAATATTATTTTACTTTTTTGTTTTAAAAATATTTTTGTAAAAAAAAAAAAGAAATTCGCAAAATCGATTTGATTGTTTTATTAAATATTAAAAGTTAGTATTAATTAAAATAGTAAACAAAGAAATAAATAATATTTTCATAATTACAGAAGATTTGATAATATTTTCAAATGATACGATGATAACTTGGAAGAGAATTTTATCTTTCTCTTCTTCATTTCTCTATTAGTAAAATGTAAAATAATATTTTTCAAGTTTCCTTTTTTTTTTTCTCTTAATTGAAGAGAAAATATTTTCAATCGAAAAGTGATGATCATCGTGATCGAAAATTTAAAATTCGATGATGCGAATAATGAATTGAATATCATTCATTGAAACACGTTATGTTAAGACTTTTAATTTTCATAAAAATGAACAAATGTTTGGTTGAATGAATGAATTGATAGAAATAGCTGTTAAATGAAGTTTTCAATTGTTAGTATATGATTGAAAATCAAGCAGGAAAAGAACTTTAGCCTGATAGAGATGCTAAATTTTCACCTTTACTACAACATCTTCTCTTTGCATCACTAGTTATTAATACTTTTATCCTTCTATCAAGCAATATTTCATTAAGCAAACTGTCTATCCTCAAACTAACCATCATCATCATCATCATCTATTGCTTCAACATTTTAATGAACAAATAAATTTTGCCTCATTTTATGCAAACACGAAATTTTGGGTAAACAAAATATATAGCTTACTCGATGATTGCTCGAATCTTATTTGTTTCACTCTTAAACAGCTCATCTAACAATTGTTGTACTGATTGTGGCAGCCGGATTAGCTCCAAAACAATCAGTCTTTTTGATTATTTAACTCGAGTATATTTTCAATAAAATTAATTTAGTATGATCTAAGCTTTTTATAATTATTCATAAGTTCGAGAATGAATTTGCTCTTTTATTCTATAACTTCTTGTATGTAGAAATTGTAGAATTGTAAATGTCTTATTTTCAGCACTAAAAAAAAAATCATAATTGTTATGATATCATTTAGTTAGGTTATAAATTAGTGACAGTATTTCTAATAAATTTCTAATATATGACAGTTTCCATTATATGACAGCGTTTCTAATAATATTAAATAAAAATTTAACATTCAAAATAATGAATGCTAATTGATAATTAGCAATTTCATATTTTAATAGTTAAAAATATGCTGTTTATAAATTTAATAGCTGCTGCTGCTGTTGTTGCTGATTTTGCAAATTCTTGGCAGTCCTAAATATTTATTATAACTATTAAAGTTATTTTCCCATTACAATGAACGAAAATAATCTAATGCATTCTTTTTCCATACTGAATTATTTAAAAGCTTTCATTTCTAAATGCATCATTTAGCTTATCATTTACTAAAACGTATAGTATAAAAAAACATTTTTATAGTATATAAAATAATTTATCAGTGAATGTTAGAAAATTTTAGCAATTTCAATCTCTACTTGAAAATTTTATTTTTTTAAAGTTAAAATCATTTTGTGAATATAAAATAAAGACTTAACTAACATCGCTTAATAACACTTGATATTATAGTAATTAATAGCAACATGATAGCAGCAATTATTTAGAAAATAGCTTTGAAATAGTTAGCTCAGATATCGTCTTAGATAATTTAGGGTAGAAGCGTTTAAATTATTTATAAATTTGAGATAATTGAATTCTTTCGTAATCTTACGAATACACTAAAAATCATTTTCATATTATCGTTATTTTTTTTTTGCTTACGATTTTGCAGGATGTTGGCTAATTATATACGACTTATAGTTGTATATGAATTGTTTACTCTCACTACAGCTTCTTATGAGGATTTATGCAAATTTGCAAGCAATATAACAGGTAATATAGCAGGTAATTTTAGTGTTAAAAAAATAACGAAAGAATTTCAATCAATATTCTCTTCATTTCTTTCTTCAAATTTACTAGCAAATAATACAATGATAATGCTGGGAAAGTTAAAAGAAAAAAGCAATTTGCACCTGTTAATTAGTTAATTATTAAGTACGGAAGAATATTTCAATTATATTCTATCCATTAAATTTACATTTTTTGTATTAGCAAAAATATTTCAAATTTCAATAATATTTTATTTTCTATAAGATTTTACATTGTGATAATAATTTGTTAAATTAGATGATAAAAAGTTAAATTTCATTTTTATCAAAATTTTAATTTTAAAATTTAATTTTATTCCATTCTAAAAATTTTGCATTATCTTTCATTGTGATAATACATTATCTTTCATTGTGATAATATTTCTCCCTTTTCTTTTGCTATCAACCAGCCAAGTATGAAAGTTTCGAAAAAGTTTTTTTTTTTTTAAATTCAATAAGATAAATGATAGTGATAAGTGATAAGTGATATGCTTACCAGTGATAGCTCAACGATATCATTCAATATGTGGTAAAAAAAAAAAGAAAAACGAATTGATTTTCTTTGTGTAAAACAAAAAAAATGTTAAATAAGCAAAAGTTTTGTTTTAAAATTTTGTTTTTCTCCTTTTTCTTTTTTTAACAAAATTTTAAAATCTATTTTAGAATTTGATCAGATTAAATGATATCGGTATTTAGGTGTGTGGAATTACATTTTCGTAATATTTCATTAGTTGGAAAAAGTCAAATATCAAATCATTGTTTATTTTACAACGTTGAAAATTTAATTCCACTCTTTAAATACTCGCTATAAAACTAACCAATCTCACGATGGATTTAATTTGCTCGCATCATTAGTGACTTGTATTTTCGAAGAAGCATAAGAGCTATACTAATTGATGTAATTTGAAAGAAAGATTTTAATTTAATTATAATTTTTGAAGAGATTGGCTAAGATGAAGTTTCACATTACTACCATAATTGAAACAGATATATTATTATATAAATCAAAGATTTTCTCCTCCTATTATCTAATATTAGAAATATTTGCCACTTGTATAAAATTTAAATTTATAATTAAAATATGAATTAGCAACATTAATTTTTAAAATGTAATCAGTAAAATCAATTTCAGTTATCCTCAAATGAAATCTAATAAGTTGGTAGAATTGATATTTATATGAACTGATATTTATATGATTATTTATATGAAATTGATCAACTATGAAATTAATTATATTATATAATAAAAAAATTATATGAAATTAGTCAACTGAGATATTTATATGAAAATTATTTGCAATTATTTTTTTTAGTATTAATAGCATTCTTCTTTTTTTTCCAATGATAATATTACGATATTATATTATACCTTAAGCATTTCTATTATCAGCTATCATTAATTCTGTTATAAACAATCAACACATTTAAACATTTCAATTGATAATTAAAAATTGCTATCTCTTTAGAGCATCAACAATTTATTTATTGAAACAAATGAATTATTACAAATTATTTTGTTTTCATTTTATTTGCTTCCTTTTCAACATTATTAACTGAAAATGATTTAGATTAAAAATTTCCGTTTAATAAGCATCAAAGAGTGGTTCAATTTTAAAAATTAATCCGAAAAGAGAAAAAAAGAAAACCGGTTTTCCCAATCTACATTAAAATGACAGTGCAATGAACCCATTTTCAGAATCAAAACTTTAAACGTCAGCTGACTGAATGGATGATAACACTTTCATCTAATTTGACATTTGGTGGAATAAAAAATTTTTCTTTTTCAAACGATGAAAAATTGATTTGCGATCGTGAATTTGTAGAAAAAATTTGAATGCAATATTTTGACAGCCAAAAAAAAAAGAAATAATATGAGAATGAAGAGAGTAGTAGAAAAATCGAACAAACAACTGCTATCATCATCATCATTATCATCATCATCCATTTTAGTTCTTTCATCATTTTCAGATGTTGAAGAATTAGCGCATCATAAATATCAGGTGCTAGAGGATTGTTTATATTATAAACTTAGTCAGGATGCAAATACAATGCAAGGTAAATCAAATGCAATCAGTATTTTACCACCAACAATAGCTGCTGGTGAAACGTTAGATGCTGAAATTCTTGAAATTGCACTTAAACAATTATGGATGGTATGAATTTTCAAATTTCTTTCCAATAAATTAAAATGCTTGTGAAATTTTGATAAGAATGACGAATTTTCAACCTAATACAAAAAACGAAAAAATAATCAACCAACAATTGAAGAAATGAGAGGATAATAAATAATTTTTTGTAATTTCAGAAGATAATTTAATCACTGAAAATTATAACGAATCCTTTATCATCACTCAAATATAATTGAATTTTTAAATTTGATAAATTTCAATTTATAAGAGATGAATATATCAGAGTATGTTAATTCTTCAACTTCAATTTATAAGAGATGAACATATCAGAGTATGTTAATTCTTCAATTTCAATTATCAGAATATGTTAATTCTTCGATATATGACAGTTTCAGTTTTTCTACTTCTTATAATAGAATTCTTTTGAATTTGCTAATCGAATTTTCAGAATGAAATATGGCATGTGATGAATATAAATGGACATTTTTTAATTGTATGTTTCATTTTTACTCTTTTTACAGGAATTTTGAAATCGATTCTCTTTTTCTGCTCTTTTATAAACAAACACATTAATTATAAGCATAATTAAATAATTAAGAAAGTGAAGAAGTTAATGAATGAAATGAAATTGATAAATTCGGTGATAATTCAATCAATCGAAATGTTCTAAGAAATTCTTCAACGCTGTTAAAATTCTATTACATTTAAAATATGTAATGATAATGTGGTAAATTTTATTCATAGGCTGTACCAAAGCTAACATATAGGAAATAATAATGAAAGATTTTGTTAAAGAATAGAATATAATATTATTTCATATGAAGTGATAAATTGTACATAAATTCATTAATTAAAAGATAGAATATAATATTATTCTGTGTGAAATGTTAATTCATCGTTGCTTAATTTTATGACAATTTTAAATCTTCGAAATTATCATAATTTCGTAATCATGAAAATTGTTCGGAGAAATGATCGGAAGAAATGAAGATTAGATAATTAATGAATTAAAATCTGTTTCGAAAATTTCTTTTCAAAAAAATTAAGCTTTAATTAATAATTTGACGAATATCAAATTTGGTTCGAAGAATTAGTATGGGAAATTTTTAAATTAGATAATGCAATTAATTTAATTGTGGTAGAATGATTGGATGAATTTTTGTAAATTTTAGAGAAATTATATTGTTATGCCTGGATTCTATCGGGAAACATTATTCTTATGATAAATTGAAATTTTTAGAAATCGTTATTGAAATGACATATTTAGAATGACATCCAAATCAAACAAATACGATAGTATGATTGATTGTGATTGCATAGAATTTTTGTGACACTAATCCAACATACACATAATGGATTTGATCTGTAAATAAAATCCTAAAGTTTTGCAATTGCAAAAGAGAAGTGATACGATGATATTTTCATACCTTTATAATTCGTATCGAAAATTTTCATTTTTATTTGAAGAAATTTTTAGATGAAAGAAAAAAATTATTAAAATAAACAATGAATTATTATGAAAATTACGATTATATATGAATATGAAATAGGGGAAAGAAGAGATTGATCGATGATCGATCTATTTCTAAGTATTCTTCCTTCAGAAATTTTAATTTCAATGAAAATTAAATACTTAAGAAAAATATATGTGAATTTTGAGTCCTGGAAGGATCGAAGGATGAAGTGGGATTTAAACGAATGGAAAACCGATACGCTGAATATACGTTCATATGGTAGACTATGGGTACCAGATATTAATAGCGATAGGTAGGTTTTTCAGTAATTTGATTACATCAAAAGCTTTCACAAATTATCGTACCACAAGTTGAAAATAACAATTGGATATATAATAGTCGATAATTGATTTATTCCCCAAAAAAACAGATTCAAAAATTCTGAAGAAGCATTTTTCAACTGTAAAATACTTTTAGAAATTTCTTTGATCAAAAAATTTTATCAACAATTAACAAATTGAACCTTATGTCATTAATAATTTATGGTTAGTTTGAATATCAACAATTATAGATTTCAAACATCATCGCAAAGCAGTGATTATGCACAATTCTATAATATTGTCGCAAAAAATAACGGTAATGTTACGGGACGATTGGAATTTAAGATGCAAGCTCATTGTGATATTGATTATACCAAGTTTCCAGATGTTAGTTTTTTTTGTAAATTAAATTTCTTAACAAATAGAAGCCTGAAAATTTAAATTTCTAAATTGAAAGCTAAAATGATATTTAAATTTTTCATTAATTTTATTTTACAAAGTTAAATAATTTATTTCTTAATACAATTATTTATTGTAGGATGACAAGAATTGCTGTTTTCGAATGAAATCAATTCTTTATCCTCATTATATCAGATACTATCTTGCACAGGGTGAAGGTGATAATAAAAATTTAATTTATCAAAATAGAATTATTTCTGATCTACTTCACTTGAAAGCAAAGTTTTGATAAGAGAAAATTGTAAAAGAAATTGAATTATTCTGCAGATGGATTGGATCTTACAAAACTAAGGACTAATTGGCATGTACGAGATGCAACGATTAAAATTTTGCCGGATGAAGACGATCGCAAGTTAGTTTATTCCTATTCATTATTATTCTAGCATTTCTCGGTACTTCTTTTATCGTAATAATATATTTTTGCACAATTTCAGTATAGCTTATATGATTAGAATGTTTTCAGAACACAAATATTGCAAATTTGTTTGCAACTACGACGTCGATCGTCAACGTTACGTATCGAACTTACGCTTCCGATGGTCGTTTCTTCGTTATTTGTTGTAATCGCACCATTTTTCGGTTCTTTTCGTGATCAGGTTTATGATTATTAAATAAAATTCTATGAATTTTAACAGTTTATTTTATGACACTTTAGTTCAATTCATTTTGAGCACTTTACAAATAGCTTAACCAAATTTTGATAGGTAATTAATAGTTTTCTTTTTGATCTTTCATTAGATAATTGATAGTTTCTTTTTTGACCTATTTTTATTAGGTAATTGATAAGTTATCTTTTCGTTCTGATTAATCATAAAGACCGAATTTCTTTATTTATATTATTCCTATATATTGCAAGCTTCTTTTATGACAACTGCTTTCACATTATTAACTTTTTACTGCTAAACTCTGAATTCGAATTATTTTTTCATAGTTTGCAGAATTATTTTGTTTTTGCAGATCAACGTGAAATTATTTGCAATATTCATTCAACTGGTTAGTTTCACATTTTTGGCCATAAAATCCCCTCAAGTTGGATTTGGTGAAACTGTTCCACACATATGTGAGTTTTTGTTTTTTATTAATTACAACTGATTTCTGTTAATTCTCAAATTTTTGCATTGATAAAAATTGTTCTGTTTAGTTAATTTTTTAGTGATCGCTTGAAGAGATTATCCTAAACTTTATTATAATATAAAGTAATCATTGATAAATGATAGAGTAGGTAGTGATAAAACGAAAAATTATTTTTACTTCAAACAATTAACTATTATAATTACTTTTTAACTATTATAATAACTTGAAATCTGTTCAAATTGCTTGCTCGTTAATACAATTTAAAATTCATTTCAGATACATTTTACGTGTTCACACTGTCTACAACAGTAATCAGTTTACTTCTAACGCTTATAATCAGCGCGATGTCACGAATTCGACGGAAATTACCACCAGGTAAATTGCTATTCATTGCTTTCAAAATTATTAGTAGTAAATGGTATAAAATATTTTTCTCTCATTATTTCTTTCTAAAAAAAGGTTTTCGCAATTAAAATTTTATTTAAACGTTAGAATTGAATCGAATGATTTGAAGAAAGAAATAAATTAAAATTCTGAAAAAATCACATCAAACAAAAATTAATTGTTAAAGTACTATAATATCAAACTATAATTAACTATAATTAACTATAATTATCAAGTTAGATATTTCAAAATTATAATACAAAGGCAATTAAATCTTTGATTGAATAATTAAGTTATCGTTGAAATTTCACACTTCGAATTTAAATTTTTCCGAACATTGATGTTTACATTATTGAAAAAGAAGTTATTAAAGAAGTATTCTTTATCAATAAAATTTTTTTTGACGATTGTCGAAAGATATCGTTGATATCGAATGTGATAGTCATTTCGAAAATTTTCTTTGAATTGATTTGTTTCGAATTTCAAGAATCATTTTTAAACATTGTTCACTTCAATGGAACTACTTTTTTCTTGCTTACAACATTATCTTAATTAATTTAAATTAATGATATTTGTCTTTCCAGCACATCGATATACATTGCTAGCTTCTGCATTGAATACCAGCTTATGTTGTGGAAGTGAACCAAGTGCTGAAATTGATGGAACTTCAGCAAAAGATTATCACCAAGATTGGCTGCAAATTCACATTGCTATTAATAATGTTGTCTCACTCGTCATTCTTGTTGCTTATATCATTGGTATCATCGTTATTCTATGTATGTAATAGACGAATTATTGTACAGAATATGCTGAATCTAATTTTTTGAAATTTTAATAAATGTTATATTATGATGAAATGTGCAAAGCTGTGCAAATTTACAAGCATTATCAAATATCATATCAGTTCATACATGTAAAATTGTATAATCTTTCCACTTGAAATATTAATTTATAATAGCTAATTAGTGAAAGTATGTGCAAAATTATGCAAATTAACGAGCATTATCAAATATCATATCAGTTATATATGCAAAATTGAATAATCTTTCTATTCGAAATATTAATTTGTAATAGTTAATTAGTGAAAAATAATACAAAATCTTTAAATTAAATATAACATGTGAATTTAAAGTGATGATATGGATTGATCGTCATAAAAACAAACGAAATAATGCTAAAAAAATATTGTGTAAAAATTAGTGATAGTAATAAAATGGTGCACTAATAAAATAAATCAATCGAAAAATTTTTTTGTTAAACCTGATTGATAATTTGATATAGACGATGATAAACTAAATTGTTCGTTATAATTTTAACAGATATAATTTTCTTCAAATTTTCATAAGGCATATTTTAATCAGTAAGTTTTCTATTTTTCTTGCTCTTTTATCAGATAATATAGAGCTTTATCATATCAGCAAAAGTGATTATTTCATTTTCGCCGCTATTTGATAGAATTTAATTTAAGGAATTAAGGTAAAAATTTGATTTTAGAAAAAACTGAAAAGAGTAATTTTATCATGAATTTGAAAAATTTTTTATCATATCTTTCGTATTTATTTTGACTTGTAAGAAAAGAAAATTCGAACTGATATGATAATAAGTAAATGAAATGATTCAAAAATGATGTCCACTTGATCATAAATCGATCATTTTGTAAAGTAAATCAATTAAATCAATCGATTCCTTGAATTAAATTAACAGAAAAGATAAATGAATGAAATTAACAGAAAAGGTAAATGAATGAAATCAACAGATTCCTTCTAATTTATAACATTTTTCAAATTAGTGAATGTAATTGTAGTGATCCCGGTGTTGTTATTCGATGATGATAGACACATAACAATTATAAACTATTCATTAATTTTGTTATTAACAGTCAGTCTATGAATGTTTCAGTATATTTTAAATTACTTCGTGCGCATCTGATTTATATACTGCATTTGATTTTCACTTCTTTCGAGATGTTAACTCGGTTTCAATTTAATAATTTAATAAATGAGCTTTCTCCTGATTTTCGTATGTTTGTATTTTGTAGAATAGAAGTAAATCATAGGATATTACTGTTATGCTGGTAGTAAATTTTAAGTTTAGCTGCAACTTTATTATTTCATTAAAATTTATAAGTTGAATAAAAAATTAGCTTCTCAGCTTCTTATTGTCTCCCGTATTATCTGTTTTTTTAATTCTTTAAGTATTTAATTGCAATGTAGAAAAAAAAAACAATAGCGAAAGCGGAATCGTTTTATTCATTTCATTCTTTCATCTTTTTTCATTATCACTTTGCTGCTGCAAAATCAACAAATAATAATGATTATAACTGATAATGATAATAATAATAGTAATAATAATAATCGCAATAATGTGAAAAAAGCAGTGAAAGGAAAGGAGAAAAAAGATTGAAGGTAAATAGATGGATGGACATGAAGAATTTGCTAGACATAAAAGCTTTGATCATCTCAAGAAAAACTAACGATCTAAGTGTGTATCGATTGTTGAAAATTTCTGAAGAAATAACAGCTAATTTTTTGGTTGTTCTTAATTGCTAAAACAATAATCAATCAACTCAAAGGAACTAAAATAGTATGAGAATGGTAGAAGATAAGAATGAAGATAGAAGCTAGATACTGTGGATGTTGAATAAAAAGCTGGAAATTGTTGTAATCTACGGATATTTGGATAACAGGATTTAACCTTTCCAGTGAAACTCCTACAATGAGGAAAAGAGTTTATCATGTTGACCTTGCTATGGATAATTTTCCTATTTCTCAGATATTATTAAGTTTTTGAAGTTGTTTCAATTGACCTATCCCAAATATCAGTTTTATGAATTACTTCTGCATCTATGTCATTTCTTTTCACTCTTTCATTTATATCATTTTTTTCTTCTCTCTTTGCCACTAAAAATATGTCCCACTCACTTTATTTCAAGCTTCAAACTTCATTGAAATTAAATTACGGTAAAATCTTCACGATGCAGGATAAAAATAGAGTGAAGTAAAAAATAAGTACTTGAAATGTTTAAACAACCAAAAGAGAGAGAGAGAGAGAGAGAGTGCCGAGTCTCATGTTTGCAAAAAAGGCAGAGAATTGAAATTTAATTAGCAAAAAAAAGAAAAAAAATAATTAACTACAATTCTATTGAGCAATAAAAGTTTCAAGTAAGACATTTTGAGCATCAATATTAAATGAAAACGCAGCAGAATTAGCTATTATTATACACGGAAAGCTCTCTCACAAAAACAAAAGTCTTCGAAAAATTTTCTAAGATAATTTAAAGTTTACACAGTTTTTTTAAAATTACACGTAAACATTTAAAATGTACTCTTTATTATCATAATTTAAAATATTAATTTAGATAAAAATATAAGTTCGAAAAATTACTTCCAATGATAAAATTTGAAAATATCGAACTTGCGATAAATTACGCGAAGACTTCAAAAAAAATGGAAAAAAGAAAAATGAAGTGACCCGATTTTAATGAGGTTTTTAGATTATTGTTAGAATAAAAAAATGAAAAGAAAATTGTAAAATTGATAAAGGATGATAATGTTTGATGAACCGAGAAAGAAAATCGAAGTTGTTAAGACAAAATAAATTATTTTCAGATGATTGATAAAAATGTTCGTTTAGTTTCTTATATAAAATTCATTTTAATCATTCTTTTCATTTGAAGGAATTACAGAAATATAAATTTCACGCTATTCCAGCTTTAATTTGTTTAATTATTTCAAATTTTGTACTGAAAAAGTATTCCGGAAAACCTGAGTGTAAACAGCAATAATTTATTCAATTATTTCAAATTTTGTACTGAAAAAGTATTCCGGAAAACCTGAGTGTAAAGAAGATAAATAATAGATTGTACTATTTTATTCGGATTAATATGATAAAACTTGAGTAGTGCTTACTATTTATTTCTTACTTTGTTCTCTTCATCCTTTCCCTTTTTGCATATCCATTCCTCTTTTTTTCGGGAATTCTATTTCAAAATTGATCATGTTTGTTGCCCTAGAAATCGATCCATCGTCAACTGATATGATTAGCATTCAAAGCAATCCATTTAACTGAGGCGTATCTAATTACGAAACGAACTATTTCGTGATGCTGCATCACGTGATTCCTCCTTCTGATCAAATATACGATAATCCGGATTGGTCATGTACCAGTGAAGCATCAAATCATACAAATATTTATATTCATCCTGAATTGTTGAAAATATGTTTAAAAATTATACTTTTGATACTTCATTAAGAATATTTTTCAGAAATAAAACCTTCATTCGCAAATGTGTAAAATCTTACACATTCAGAAATAAATTGTAAATTTTTTTTAATTAATAAACTTTGTCAGAAAGCTACTACAACAGATTATTACATTTATTTCATCCTATTTTTGTGATCATAAAAAAATATTGCAAAACAACAAATATATAATGAATTTGAATTCTTTCCTGTAATTTTCTCCATTATAAATAAGTTATAGCATACTGCTAGTCTAATAAATGCTAGCCTATAATTTACTACAACTTTTGATAATAATTTTTAAACTAACTCTATCAACAAGTTGTGGCCTATTCATTCGAATTAATTTAACAGCATGAAAGACGTCAACTTCATGATCCATATCCATCTGATCAATACATACATTTGCAGCTATATAAATGCCACATCGATTTACACCATTACTAAAAACAAAATATTTAAAAAGTGAAGTACTTACCGAACAGATGATAATTTCGGAAAATCTTGCAATAAAATTTCTGGCCTAATATTTTGGAAATTTCATGATATATATTTGAAGTACGATTTTATTGATTTAGTTTCAATAACTGGAATCTCAAAAGTAACATGAATTTTAATCCTATTCAATGAATTTGAAACTTCTCCTAAAATCAAGTCCAGTCTGAAATTCCAGTAACTAGCGCTCTCCTTAAAGAAGGAAGAATGATCTACGATTCATATTTGCAAATTATGAATTGACGAACTAAATATTTGATTCAGTTTTAGAATTTAATAAACTTTAAAATTACTCTCCTTCGACTGAAATAACTTTTGAACGTTTACTATTACTCTCAGAAAATTACCATCAATTCCTTCCTGCTAAATTTGAAATTATTAAAATTATAGGAAGAGTGCATACTTACTGTGACATAACAATAGTGGGTTTTGTTTCCGGCCGTTCCGGAGCACGTTTCCGCCAACCACGCGCCATTTTTATCATATCAATAAGACCAGAAGTTGATAATGGTACTTTGTTTTCAATTGGCCACATTCGAATCTAAAAGCTTTTTGAAGTATTATCATGAAATATTTTAAAAATTTTGAAATCAAGAATTGCTTCAGATAATTGCCTAGTCTTTGAAAGAAAATCAAAAAATACCGCAAATTATAAAATTTGAATTAAATCAAATCTACGATGCACTTACGCTGGTTCATCTTCATTTCTTTTATGAGCTAAGGATTTGCATAGATTGATATTGGAAATTGTTAATTCGACTAATTAAACGTTCACTTTTCATATAAGTTCACTTTTCTTACTGCCCGGAAAATTTTAAAGGGCGCAAATCTCAAGAAATCATTTGCGCTATATTGAAGCATTAGTACCTGTATAACACAACATATCCTAACTTCGGCTTCCACCTGTTGCTGTTGTTGTTGTTGTTGCTGCTGCTGCTGTTGTTGATTGGTAGCACCTGCCATTAATTCTGAGATCATAAATAACTGCAAATATATAACAAATAAAAGTGATAAAATAAACAAAAACAAAAAGGCGAATTCTTAACTGATTTAAGAAAAGGGACTGATTAATTAGATGGATTGATCACTCATAGATTATTGATTTAACGATCAATGATAAATTAGCGAAACTGAACAATCTGATCTTGAAAAATGCAATTTCCTTTTCAAAATGTAACTTCTTGACCTTTCTATCTTCAAGAAATCATTCATTCAATTTGATTCTTTTTTAATATAATAATGTTTTATTCCACTTTGTGTTTTTTAAATTTTTTCAATAGATGTTTATTAGCAAATAAAATAGGGAATGAAAACGATGATTCATATATCTTAATGGTAAAAAGAAACACGTGAAAACGTGAGAGATTATTCACGTTTATAAATGACTCAATACATGAAAACGTGAGAGATTATTCACGTTTATAAATGACTCAATACGTGAAAACGTGGGAGATTATCCACGTTTATAAAATAACTCCATATATTTCTTCAAATATATCTATCCTATCTTAATTTTTTGGCATAAATTAATAGCTTTACGAAATTTTCAATTTTTTGCTAATTTGAAGACAATAAAAAATCATCAAAATTCTTTAACAATTTTATATAATATGAAAAAGTTTTTTATCTCAGTGAAATATATACTTCTTCTGGAAACTATTGGAAATTATAGCCAATCAATCATTATCACTTTATCCATATTGTAGGAGAAATTAATTTAAAACGCAGATATTGGGCATAAAAAATTGTGGTTTAAAAAGCGGAAAAAAATCTATCCTCAAAAACAGGTTCAACAAAAATGAAGTCAATAAAACGTTAAACTTGTTTTCAACATTCAAAAAAAAAATTTTACACCAAGCAGATTTAGAAATGTGATCTATTGGAAAATCGTTATCAGATTTATAAATGTGATCTATTGGAAAATCGTTATCAGATTTATAAATGTGATCTATTGGAAAATCGTTATCAGATTTATAAATGTGATCTATTGGAAAATCGTTATCAAGGAAAAAGTATATAAAAGTTTTTCAATAAAAATTTGATAAATTTTTTTCCTAAGATTAAATTGCAAAAAATTAGAAAGTTAATGCACATAGTGAAGAAGCAAAAAATACTGAATCTTTCTTTTCCCGCAATTTCCCAGATTGCTCAGATTGCTAATTTTGAAATCATTTACATACACAATAATTTCTATTGGATTCGAATTCTTTTTTGATTTAATACAATCAAACATCAAAAACATTTTTGATGCTACTTAAAAAATACATACCTTCTTCATAATTTTAACCATATGAGAGGTCATCGATGGATATTGATGATGATTTAAAATTTCAACAATAAAAGGCCCGTATGTTTGTCTTCCTTTGCTATGTAGGAATGTTGGATATACCTGATATAATAAAGTTACAGAATTGAGCTTTTAATAGAATTACAATGAAAGATTCGTTTTAGAAGATAAATGTGCGTAAAAAAAAAGAGCATATATCATATTAATTACGAAGTACTGTTAATTGGAAATGTAATAATGATTTATTTTTCATTCTCCAATCATTTCATATATTCTATTCATTGTTTCGTTTTTAAAATAAATTTTAAAAACGAAAAACTTACTCGAGAACGCCCCTGATTACTTAAATTAATAATGGTATGGCAATTATGATCGAAAACCAACGTCCAAAAACTGTCCAATGTTGAGGTTTTTGGCCATTCTGTTACGATAAATTCAGTTTTCCGTCTAAAACCATCCACTTCAACTGCATTGATGTATGTATAATCTTTACTTTCACCATGTAATGTTTGCAAATATGGCCGTGCATGATCAGCTGCAATTTAATTTTCATAATAACAACAAATATCATATTTTAAATTCAAAAGAAACTTCTAAAAATATAATTGTAATTACCAGATGCTCATATTAGGAATACTAGTTAGAAGAAAATAGATGAAAGAACCTACGTGGTACGACCATAACGTCCCTATTTTTACCACGATTTTCTAATCGATGACCACCAGCACAATCACCTATCCTCAATTCGGGTGTCAGCATTAATAATAACTGTAAGATAGTTGTATTATTGAAGAAAATTAAAATTTTCGGTGAAAGTTTTTGAAAAATATTCCCATTGGAATTTTTTAAAATTTCATATAAAATACTCTTTCAATAATTTGTGCATAATTAGGAAACGAAAAAAGAAAAGAATTTTCAAAAAAATCTTATTTACCTTTGCTTCATCATCAACCTGTGCTTCCATTACCTGACGATTTTTCTTGGCTTTGTACATGCTACTCCTTTTCTTCAGCTGCCACATTTCAATAGGTTCAATTTTACACAACACTGCCTAAAATCTCTTATATATGATATAATATACAATTAGGCTAAAACAATGAAAGCTTTAATATATGTAAAAATTAAGGGTTACAGATGAGATCAGATTGGAATCGAAAAGCAAATCTCAATCTCAAAAGTTTAAAATACATATCTATGCTTTTTAATTTCCTTTTCATTACAAATCTGGTGAATCATTTTTAAAAAAGAAAATTCTTAATTCTTAACTTAAAAGTAATTAGCAATTAGCCATAATTAATAGCTTAAAATGCAAATTCATATCGCAAAAAAAAATTTTTGTTGAGAATTCACTTGAATTAGACAAACCTCAGCAAGAGCATTATAAATGAATTGGTATTGATCGACGGAATCAATCAGATGAGGTCGAGAATTAATCAATATTTTACCATATTCATACACATCAATTTGTCCGGTCTTTTTCAAAAGCTCTAAATTTGCATCTAACGCCAAAAATGCGCCACTTCGACCACCGCCGTTGCTGCAAAATGAAGAAATGACTTATTGTCTGAGATAATTTTCCTCAAATTTTAGTCTTAATTTAATTAGTAATTATTTTAAATTAATTATATTAATTTATATTAATTCCCTGTTTTTACTAAATTAATGTTGCAAACTACAATTATTCTCATGCAATAAAAATTGAACTTCTCAGTTGCAATTGTGCAAAATAAATTTTGACTGTAAAATTGATTTGCAAATCAGAAATGGCAAATTGAAACGATCAGTTTGCAAAATTTAATTCAGGCTATCAATTTTTCTTTTTTAGGTAATACTATTAAAAAGTTCTTATTTAAATTCTTACTTCTCATAACTATTAAATTACAGCTAATCTGTTAGTAAGTTACAGTAATATAACTTTTACATGCAATTTAATTCATACTGCAAAATCGAACAAATTTCAATTATTTTAAATTAATTAGACTTAAATAATGCCAGATATTAACACTATACTTAGGTAATGTCAAATGTAAATTAATTAATATTTAATTACACTCAGATAATGCCAAATCTTTGCTGATATAAAAATTCGGAAGAATTTAGAGAATTATTAAAACAAAAGTTTCCCATTCCTAAATTCCTCCTTCAATTACAATTAAAAATTAAATTTTCAAAATTTCTTTCTAATTATTAGTTTTTTCTTAATTATAATTTCTTTTACAGTAAGTGTTGAAATTCGCTTTGTTTTAATTTATATTATTCGTAGGAATATTATCGAAAATTAAACAAATTAATACTATCTTATTTTTTCGTTCGGCTAGAAAATTTTCCATAAGTTCGTAAGTTCAAAAAATAATCTATACGAAAATTTCAATGCTGCAATATTGAATTTAAAATTTGCCATAGCTATCCGAAAATATGTCTTAAGGTTAAAATCAAGATAGTCTTATCTTGAGAAGTCTTAAGGTTAAAATCAAGATAGTCTTATCTTGATATGTCTTAAGGTTAAAAATGAAGATAGTCTTATCTTGAGAAGTTTTAAGGCTAAAATCAAGATAGCCTTATCTTGATATGTCTTAAGGTTAAAAATGAAGATAGTCTTATCTTGAGAATTCTTAAGGTTAAAATCAAGATAGTCTTATCTTGAGAAGTCTTAAGGTTAAAATCAATACAGTCTTATCTTGAGAAGTCTTAAGGTTAAAATCAAGATAGTCTTATCTTGATTTTAACCTTCAGACATATTTTCGAATAGCTATGACAAGTTATTTTTTTATGATTGTATGTAGGCGAAAGTAAGTGCAAAATGAAAAAACAGGAAGTGATTCCGGTTTTTGACAAACTTAATAATCAATTTCATTAGTGCTGTTGTTTCGTTGCTTATTTTTTTGATAGCATATGCCAGTATCATCACAAAGTACGAATTGAAATTACAATTTATAGTTGAATAATAATTTCGATCCGTTTTATAATTTATTATGAAACGATGTAATTCTGATATTTCCGGATTTCCGATTATCATTCCTTTTCTATCATCTAGTCTTTCGTTTAATCATATGAAAATAAATCTTTAAGCTTAAAATTTAAAAGTGAACAGAATAATGGAAATTATATAAAAAGAAACAATTAATTTCATCGTTTCTCCTCCCACTCATAGCTATATGTTAAGCAAATAAAGGTGTAAAATAAAACATTTCCAAACAAAAGTTAAAACAATTAGCGATAATAAAACAATATAAAACAAAAATTAGCGATAATTTTAATTATAAATATAATTAATTATAATTATAATTAAAATTATCGCTAACTTTTCATTACAATTAACGATAATTATAAATTTATGTTTGATGGGTTTTTGAAAATAATAATTTTATTGCTTTTAAAATGGATGATTCAAAGATATAATTAAATTTTCTTCTTAAAATGAATTTGAATGAAAAATATGTTAAAATATGTTTGACTCATTCAATGATAGGTATGAAAATATAACAGGTCTATTGAGATTTCTTTTCTTGTTGAAAATAATGTGAATTAATCGAAAATGAACAGAACCGCCCAGAGAAATGTTGTTTTGATGCTATTAAATGCTAATAAAGCATCGTTTATGAAAAGAGCGATTTCGAAAACTAAAATCATTTTCGTCTTCCTGCCAGTCTTCTATCATTTTACTTATTCGCTTTCTGTCGGCTATTATTAAATATTAATTTTATTAATATATCATTATTATTATTAATTTTATTAACGTATATTTAAGATCATATATTAATTTAGAAAAAAAAAAAACAAATACATAATTAATTCTATCAAGATTTTAATTCATTTCTTGATTTCTGTTTTCTTGCGTTAATTTTTGTTTATTATTTGGATAGAAGTTATAGCTATTATATCACTATATTTAATTTAAGTCTATTTAATCTTATATTTATATCTATACTATTTATATCTATACTTATATCTATACTATTTAATCTTATATTTAAGTCAAAAGATCATCCACTGTAATTTCTAATTACTGAAAATAGAGGCAAACCTCTTTGATATTAATTTTGACAATGATATATATTAAAAACAATGAACAGCAATAATAAGAGGTTAAATTCAATTTGTAAAGAATTTGAATTTTTAATGGAATACTTAAATTTAAGAAAAAATTTTTAGCATTAATAATTTTACCACACTTTTTCAATTCCAATTTAGGTGAAGAATTACTGAGTAAATACTAAAATATGTTTTCCTATTGAAATGAAATAATGAGAAAGTGGATTGAATATCACAGAAATAAGATATGAATGATACTCATTTAACATTTCAATCATCGTAAAGTAAAATCTATCGGTTCCTTCGACAGATATAATTAATTCTTATAATATTAGAGAATGCATTAAATACGTGTAAAAGACGTGCCCTGAAACGATTATATGTAATACGGTGCCTTAATAATCTATCGTATTAAGATCGTATAAAGTATCGTATTATCGTATTAAAAATTAAATTATAATTTCATATTAATATAATTTATAGGAAGAAACATGATTTGTAGGTAAAAAATGTATAAATTAAAATTAGCGATATTAGAAATTTCAATTGTCAAAAAATTTAACTAAAGTGTAAAACTACCTGATCCCATTATTACAAATCTTTTCGACATGTCTATTTCAATAATTACTAAACGACAACTGTTTTATCATTGGTAACTTTCGTATTTAATTATCAATTTTTGATCGCTAGTATAAAGTTTATCTGAACATAGATCATCTATCACTATTAAATTTCACTACAAGCCCTCTTTGCGTGGATAATCTCTTTGTTTAATTTTCATAATGCGATCTTCTTTTCTTCAATTGTGCATTGTTGAAATTTAATTTTATGATCTTTGAAAATGGATTTCTTTAGATGATGATAATCATCCGAATCAATTTAATGCAAATGATATTAAAAAAAAAGGAAATGAAAGTGGTGCAACTGTAAACTGTCACTAAATATTGGATAAATAATTACATTAAAAATTATTAGCTGAAATGAATTCTCTGTGCTACAATGTGCAATATTTTCTTGCACTATTCCTACATTTCATTACTTACGACATATATGCAAAAGGCAGAAATTATTATCATTTCCAGCAATCAATTCAAGTTAAGTTTAATTTAAATGAAATAAAATTTCAGCGGATAAATTCTAGCAATGATATCATTTCTTTTTGATAAGTAATTTTTTATATGAGTGCATAAAGTTAGTATTAAATCAGCAAACAATGATAAGAATCAGTTATCACTGAGAAATACTGCTAATTCATTTCCATGCTATCACTGAGATCCTAAAAAAATATATCAGAATCGAAAATTCGATACTGAATATGGCGCTATTATTTTTCCGTTAATGTAGAGGTGATATTGATATATGAAGTAATTTATAGGGAAAATGAAATGAAGTATGAGAAATGGAAAGAACGCTTAATCCATTTTGTACTTCGTAAAATTAATTAATTACACAAACAATAAAAATAGCACGAAGAGAACAATTTTTCAACTACAGCTTATATATTATTAAACTTTTCAAATATCAAACTAATCGAATTACAAGCGCAACATAAATGGGAAAAACATAAGGATTTAATTTTAAATTAAATTAAATGATTACATTGCTATTAATTTAGAAATACTCAAAAGGCATTTTTAACTTTTAAAGATTTGAAAAAGTTTTGTGATCGATGTAATTCTCAGGTGTGAATTATTTATTTTTATAGAACAGAAATAAACTTAAGCATTTAATTACCGTACAAAATAAGTTTAATATATTTATTAGGTAGGTGAAATTAATTGTGCACGTAATAATTTCTAGAGTTATCGCTGCAGAAGATTATAAGAAGAAATAAGCGAGCATTTGATCTAGCACAAATTGAATCAAATCTGGAGGAAGAGGAAGAGCATCGCATTCGATGGGAACTATTGAGAATAGCAGATCCGATCGGATTACAAGATAAAATATGTCTGGATAAATGTAACGAAAATTTACGACTTGGTCTTGACATGGTCAAGGTATTTTGATATTATCTTTATACATAGCATATCACTACCTACTTTATTATTTCAGTGATAAATTCTGGAAGCAATAATTTTTAAATTTTTATCAATTAAAAATTATTGCCTTGCAAAAATTAAAATGAGTAGGATGCGAACAGAGAATTACTTTTATATTATAAATAGAATTGAAAGGAATTAGGAAATCGATGATCAATAATATCATCTGTAATTTGAATTAGAAATTTTTGAGTGTTTTCATACTTAATTATCTAAATGCTTAAAAAAATATTTCTATTGATCCGGAAAACAGAAATGCATCCGTTGTCCTGTTAATTCACTTAGAATAAAATGAATACAAATATGAACAGAATAGAAGATCTGTGAATCCTCAAACAAATATTAGGAATACTTCCTAGCAAAGTGCTTTCCATTTTCAGGCGCACATTGCATTTGGCGTTATCAATGTACCATCAGTGGAAGATGAAAGTGATCTTAAATTGTTTTGTCGCTTAGATGATGAGCATAGTCGGTGCTTAAGTAATTGTGGTTTTATGATACAATACAATATGAATGATTACATTTGTAAGGATCATTATCAAGAGGTCAATTTTTTGCTTTAAAGAAAGATCGACAAACCATTAACAGTTGAGAAATTAAAGAAAAAGCAACAATAAGCATGGAAAGAGTATTTTAAGTGATAAAATGATTAGTGGAATTAATTTAATTTAAATTTATCAAATTACTTTCTATATGCTAATAGTTTAAAGCAAACAATGCCAGCGTTATGATTACCTGTCACCTTTTTGCACTTAGCGTTTCAACTAGCTCTCATCTCAAAATTTATAATTTAGTAAGAAATCTCGGATAAATTAATTTCTATAATCTTTTTCATTGACTTAGAGATAACTAGAACAACGATTGTGAAACTATTTTAATAATTTATATTTGATACTTTTCAGATGATCTATTTATTACCCTGCTATAGACATGTAATATCCATGTTAAGGCGTGAATGTGGCGCAAAAAGATGTGGTACTTATACAAATAATGATAATACAACTATCGGTAAATTATATTATATTCAAGTAAACTTATCACTTGACCTTTTTGGAATGAATAAAAGAAGTATGAAGAAAATATTCCACATGCAATAAATATCTTTTTTTAATTCATTAGGCTATAAGTAATATTCATTTTAAGATAATGCAAATCGATGTCGTTTGTTGTTGTGTAATGTTGAATGCACAACAAATGTACTCATTCGACATTGCACTAATGAATATGGTCAAAAAGCTGCTCGTTTTATTAGAAATTACACAAGCCAACAGGTGATATCAAATTTTCTAACTTTTATCATATCAGGGAAGATTATTTTAAGTTTCTTTAAATTTTAACATTTTCCGAAATTAGAAAATTAGTCTTACAAACAATTATTTTTTCCTAAATGATCTTTTTCTCTCTTTTCCCTCTCATTTTCTCGTATTTTTCTCATTTCTGATAACAACAATAATAATAATAATAATGATGAGGAAAGTTTTTTAAATGATGTAAGATATTAGCCCTTTTTTTCTCTGATCTATCAGTGAAAACAAATAAATATAATATGAGAAAACAGTTGTTCCAAAAATTTGTTTTATTTTTAGGTATCATTTTGGATGGAAGGTTTGATAAAAGAATTAAATGATACGATGAGAAATCCGATGATAACAATACCACCCTTATGCTCCAGACTTATTTGCCATAATTCTCAATGCCTTTTGTAGAAAGGAATTAAAAAATATTTGTTCATCTAATTAATTTAAATTTAACTTTAGTAACGTATCATTTAATATAATATGCATATTCCTTTAGAAAATTATTACCTTCTAGAAAAGGCATCGAAGAAATTTTCTACTTTAAGAAATTTGTAGCCTTCAAAATTTTTGAAAGCATTGATATGATATCATGGACAAATTTTAGATTAGCAAGTAATTTGTGTAGTTTGCCCATATTTTAAAATGCTATCAGGAATAAACAAACCTGCAATGTACAACAATTGGTGCGTCAGCACGAAATTTATCGGTATATTGACGCACTCGTCGGCGTAATTCAATAAAGGCGCTAATATACGGCAAACTATCTAGCTCCCATTCAGTAAAATGAAAATGTTTAATTACACGAGTTTGTTGGCCCACATCCGGATCCAGCCTTGATAATCGTAATGTACGGATAATCTATAAATTCAGTCTATTATTAAATTCTTTCTATTAATGAAAGATTGCATAATTAGGGTAAATGTATCAGCAGCCTACTAATAATGAAACTTTCATCGTAGAAATTGAAATATAAAGGTAAGTTGAAAATAATCAAAACTTTTATTTCCAACTTTTTATCTATCTAATCTTTTATCATTTCGAAAAGATTTCATTTGTGATTGCTAAATTATTATCAAATGAATTTCATAATAAAAAAAATGAAACAATGCCAATTTAATTTTAATTATACAATTCTTGTCAAATTTAGCATAAACATCTCTTACATATTTGTTTTTATTTATTCTTATAATTTTACACTTACAAAATGAGCGTAACTTTTGGTCTCCAATGTTTCCACTTCGATTTGGCCATATTCACTAGTTGTAGCAGGCCAATATTGAAGGCACATAACCTATAATCATATATTTATTTGATAAGAGATATATTTAATTGTTAAAAAATAAATTTGCATTAATTCATCACGATCACTTCAAAGGTTAATCAGTTTGATCTGATTAATTCTGATTGCGATCACTTCAAACTTTGATCAGTTTGATCTGATTAATTATGATTTCAATTAATTTTGCTGAAAAATGATTAAATATAAGCTAACCCGCATAAAATCAAAAACTTTAGTTAACATAACAATACAATTTGATCCAAGTTCCCAAATTAATCTCCAAAATTCCGTTATTGCAGGTTTAGTCCTGACAGCTTGCGTTACAACATAAGCTTTCTCTCGTATCCAACTCTGAAATGAATCATAGCAAAGATACAAACTTTTCAATTCTTCCATTCCGCTTATTTTTAATTTTAATTTTATTATTTGTTTTTAATTTCGTTTATTAGTAGAAAAAAGGAGCATAGGGAGATTAATATTAAACGAAACATTACAGGTTTAGATGTCTGATTTAAACAGGAAAACTAAGAGGTGTCAGCAATTTTCAAGATGTTATTATGTTCGCCTTTCTCTTCTCTCTTCTTCTTCATAATAGAATAATTTAAAAGTTTCGCTATATGAAAAACTTGACGAGATCATAGTTCATCGAAAAGCTTCCTGTGGCAATTAATTTAAATCAAACTTGATAAATTGATAATTGGTTGTAATATTTAATAAAAGATATTTTTACGAGAAAAAAGATCCTTTCATTGCTAAATTTTCACTTCAATGCAAAAAGTTTACAGTTCATATTTTAAAATTTACAACATTTGATGGAAATATTAAAATTCGAAAGTAAAACAATAGAGGCAATAAATGAAATTAAAAACTAACATTAACATAGCTAGCATTAGCATAGTGTGAATTTTTGTCATCAGGAAGCTTACGTAGTATAACACGATTGTAATCATATGGTAGCGTATCAGGAAATTGATTTCGGCTCTCCATTGCTAGACCGATATCACATCGACATTTAGCCGGATCCACCGAACGTAATATCATCTGCAAATTCTGAATTATTTCATCTTTGGGCTATTTGTTCAAAGAAAAAAAAAGGTAGACAATAAAATGTTTATATTGCTTATTCGAGAAGAGATAATAAGAAATGGATTTTGTAAGATAGATGGTTTTGCTGATCAAATTACAACTAATTTGCATGCATATATATCAGCAATAAGATGACAAATGCGCTTGCTGCAATGTGCAATATGCCCATTTAAGAAAGCATATATATCAGCAATAGGATGACAAATGCGCATGTTGCAATGTGCAATATGCCCATTTAAGAAAGCATATATATACATCAGCAATAAGATGACAAATGCGCTTGCTGCAATGTGCAATATGCTCATTTAAGAAAGCATATATATACATCAGCAATAAGATGACAAATGCGCTTGCTGCATGCAAATGCGCTTGCTGCATTCAAGAAACTCACAATATATTCGCCTTTAAATAAAATCCTCTTTTTTCGTCGTTCGGTAACATATGCAACAAATTTGGATGCATCAATGGGCGCTGTTGGTGCTGCTTGCATTGCTTTTTCTTCTTGCACTGAAATCAATTAAATCAAAATCGTAATTAATTAACTTTCACTCTAATTATTTTAAATTAAATTTTTGAACTTTGTAATGAACAACTTATTTTATTTCATTTAAAAGTTCTTCTCAAAGAATAACAAATTTTATCACATTTTTCACTTTTTGAATTTTACGTTTTAGAAAGATTTCACGCGGCTGCAATAACATTATTTGATCATTTTAAAGCGGAAGCTGGCAGCTAAAAGTTTAACAAATTTCTGTTCAATCAAAACAGTTTTGTTTTCTTTTAGTTTTTGTCTTTTTTTTTTAATTAGTAATTATCCAAATGTTAGGAAAAATGTGGCAATTGTGAAAATTAATAAGTTTTGCAAACATTCAAACAAAAAATAAATAATTATTGATTCATTGATAAAAGCTTAATTTCTCATAATACCATATGAAAACAAAAAATTTCATTCATTAAAATATATTTTAAATTTTCAAATTAATATTTCAAATTAATAAAATAAGCATAATTATTTGCATAAATAATAATTATAATATAAATAATAATGATATAAATGATAAGCATAAAGAATAATTTATAGTTGAAAGTGAAATAAGCGTAATTATTTGCATAATAATTTATAGTTAAAAGAAGTAAATTAACTTTTGATAATTTGATAAATGAATTTTAACGGTGAGAGAAAAAAAGGACCGCTTCAAAAAGTTTCAACAAAAATATTTATTTATTCCAAAATGTTACTATCACTTTGTTTGTTCCCAATAATTTCTACAATGCAGAAAAAATTAGTTGAAAAAAGATTTATCGATTTGATGTAAAATTTTAATCAAGAAAATTCTAGTGATAAGTTGAAAGGTTAGAAATGAATGAATCAAAAAGTGATAAGTTGAAAGGTTAGAAATGAATGAATCAAAAAGTGATAAGTTGAAAGGCTAGAAATGAATGAATCAAAGAGTGATAAGTTGAAAGGTTAGAAATGAATGAATCAAAGAGTGATGAGTTGAAAGGTTAGAAATGAATGAATCAAAGAGTGATGAGTTGAAAGGTTAGAAATGAATGAATCAAAGAGTGATGAGTTGAAAGGTTAGAAATGAATGAATCAAAGAGTGATGAGTTGAAAGGTTAGAAATGAATGAAAAGATATTCGCTTTCTTTTATCAGTGAAATTGAAAAGTACGGAATGTTTTATGTTTTAGAGCTCTTAGTGAAATGAAATTCTGAACTTTTCCACGGCAATTTATTATCATTATAAAAGGAAGAAAAAATAGTTTTCAATATTTTCTTTCACTGATAATTTATTTTCACTTATAGAAGTTTCATTTGATAAGCTGTAATGTTTTAAGTGCTAGAAATTAATCAATAATCTTTATCATTTCATTAGGATTTTTTTTTGAAATGATAATGTTTAAAGTTTTTTTTGATGATATGAAAAATGATAATTGATAATAGAAATGAATTATCAGTTATTGTAAAAAGATTCAATTTAATTGCAATTATATACTTTTTGCTGTTGTTGTTGTTTACATATCGATTTTATTTCAATATCAATTTTACAAGTATTTCAAAATATTGTATTTCATAGCTGGCAATAATGAACAATTGGTGATGATATGTAATATAACTAACAGTTGTTGCTAATTGTTTTTTTGCAAGAGGAAAAAACAATATATTAAAAAAATATACTAGAGAATATATTATTTCATTGAATTCACAGATGCTAAACTAAATAAATAAATAAATAAATATGTCACAAATATTTAGGCTTATTTAATAATAAACTTAATGATAAGCTATGTTAAGCTTAACTAATAATAATAATAAAATATTATGAGAAGAGTTTAAAAAGTGAATGAAACATTGTCTTAATAAACTATGTGATAATTAGTATTAAAATAGTATTAAATGGTATTAAATATTAAATGGTTTTTAAAATAGGATTAAATGAAATATTATCACATAGTAAAATAGTATTAAATAAAATAGTATTAAATGGTTTTTAAAATGATCGGATCGATATTTTAGCATTTGCGAAAATTTGTTTCATCCACAATTTCAATGTATTTTATTTTCTAACGAGCATGAGAATTCAAATATACTATAAAATATTTTCGTAGTGCTATTTAGCTGATGAAAATTTTATGATACACTATCAAATAAATTATCTCATTCATCGTCAGGCAATTAAAATTTTTGTTTAAAAAGTTATTTTATGCTAAAAATTCACGATGAATAATTAAGCATAGCTAATTATTTCAATTAAATAAAAATTCATAATTGATTTTAAGAATAACTGAATTAAAATGGCAAATTGAAAATAATACTAAAAAATATCTTCGTGTCGTAAAAAAAAGTGCTGTCAACCGATGAAAATTTTAATTATTAAAATTTAAATATTAAAAAAGTGCTGCCAGCCGATGAAAATTTTAAATATTAAAAATGATTGTTAGAATATTCTGAATGTCAATATTTGGATATTTGGATTTTTGAATTTTTAATTATTATTTTAATTCGATAAGATTGGATGAAAACTAATGGAAAATAGTTGGTACGATGAATTGGTAATATTAATTGATAACTTTGTCTATCAATTTTTATTAAATTTTGTTAAATCATTCTTTGGTTAAAAATAAATGAGTTTTGAAATATTAAAGAAGAAATACTAAAAAGTAAGTACCACAATATGGAGGTAAATAATTAGGTATATTTCTAAACCAATTGATAGTTATTTATTTGAGATGAAACTTCCAAAGAATGATAATCAGTCTATAACATATAATTTCTCTGTTTCACAAAACATTTCGCTTTAAATTATATTCAATACTTTGCTCTCTCATTGTTGACAGATTAAAGTAATCTTTGCTCGATGCTTAAATAGAACTTTCTCAATAATTGGCGAAAATTAGCTAACCATCAATTAGCATTTTCATTGCTTTTTTTTCGCTTCCTATATAGCTATGTAAGTAATATACGCAATATGATCTTGAACTGTATCGATTGATCAACAATGGAAATCAATTGAAATCATTTAATCATTGCAATTTAACGTCATCTAATTGATTTCGTTTCAATGCTTTTTAATTTCTACTATAATAGAGACTGGCAGATTGCTACTTATCATAAAATGATATAAATCTTAATACCTTTCACACTATTCGAAAATGAAATAATAAAGTCTTCAAGAATACTAATACTGTATAAAAATACTGTATTTAACTATACTATATTTAACTTCTTCCAAATTAAATATAATCAATGATAAATGGCTATATCTGTAAAACTGTAAAAATACTGTAAAACACTGTATTTAACCATACTATATCTAACTTCTTCCAAATTAAATATAATCAATGATAAATGGCTGTATCTGTAAAATAGTAAAAATACTGTAAAACACTGTATTTAACCATACTATATTAAACTTCTTCCACATTAAATATAATCAATGATAAATGGCTATATCTGTTTATTCTTCTATAAATTCGTCAAAATTTGCATAAACACGAGAGTGTTGAAATTAATCAATACTTTTATTTATGGGCAATTTGAATGATTCTATTAAATTGAAATTTTTCATTGAGATGATTTGCAAATGGAATGAAAACCTTCCTTACTTAGCAAAATAGAAAATCTTTAGTTAGTACATATTAATTGTGTAAATAAAATTTTAAATGGTTAAAGAAGTAATTACAAATTGTTTAGTTTATAATTGCTTAGCTTTTTTTTTGTTATGGAAAATTTATTTTAATATAAGAAAATGTGAAAGGTTCAAAAAGAGTTAGGCCTTTTTCTTCTCTACCAAAAAATTTATCGCAACCAATAAAATAACAGACCTTTATGTTTATTGTTATTTTGATGTGAAAAATTTTATTGAACTTCTTTGACGAAAATTTTCTTAAATGAACAATCAACAAGGATAATGAAAATATCAGGTAGATATGATGAAAAGATTTAAAAACATATTTAATAATTGGGCTTAAAATTAACTGATAATTAATTAATCAAGTAAACTAGATAAATTTTTGGATTTCACCGATACAAAAATCTAAATACAATAAACATATAGAAGTGTAATATACCTGAAAACTAAGCAAATATTAGTAAATAAACCTGTAACTTTTCACCTATTTTTTCATTCAGGAAAATTAAATTAAGGAAATGAAATTTTGTAGAGAAATTTCTTAGAAATATTTAAAGAAGCGGTAGTTACTTTTTTGTTGGATTCATTTAGGTAAATAATAAATCCATTTCATAATCATTCCAAGAATTTATATCGTAAATAGAATGAATGTCTTATCCAACATTTTACTTTCTACGACGTCATTATCCCGACAATTGAAGTGCTTTTTTTCAATCTGTCTAATCTCGTCCTTTGCAGATCTTTCCATTTGTCGTTTTCCATGAGATATTTTTAGTTTTCAAAAGTGAAATTAAATTAAAAGCATTGCATATTGCATAATCATTATAAACATAATCACTCCATAATCGTAATCATTATAATCATTATAGTGATTATATCAAATTCAATCTTCCACGAAGAAGGAAGAAACATTCCTAAATATGTTGACAATAAATAAATATAGAATTAATAAAATCACAAATGTAAATTATTCCCTAAGCTTCTTTAGCATTGCTCCATTTTTCTGAATGAAAGAATTTTAGAAAACAACAAATGATCGATGCCTAAATTGGTTGGTAGTTGTAACGAACAATTTTACGATATCAATTAAATTTGAGAATTACAAATGAGAGTTATTGGAGAGTTCTAACTAATGGCAATGAACAAAATGAAATGAATAAAACTTCAAACTTATAATAATTCAAAAACAATTGTAAACTTTATTTGTTAATTAAAATCTATTAATTGATTAATAAATTATTGAAATTTGAAAAAAATTATTTTCCCATTAAATATATAATTATATATTTTCTGTTTAAATGTTCATTATAATTTATTCTTATAAACTATAAAATTGTTAAACGACACTTTTCCCCATTTTATTCTATATAAATTAAAATTGTCCACAAACTATTATAAGAATTTCGAAACTGGCAACAACGAAATGATACGAAAAAATGATGTCAGTAATGAATAATCGATAGTGCATTAAGTGGACATAATTTTTTTCAAAGTTTCAACTCCTACCAACCATTACTTTTATAAATACTGCAAAACTAATTTATTACAACGATATTTTTATTTACGAAAACTAAATTTAAGTACACATAGCGTATGCGTTATTTTTGAAAGCAAAAAGGCTTGTTCTCTCAAAAAGAGAAAAGATATTAATTTGTAGAGTGGAATGAAAGAAATTAATTATATTATAAATTTATGAACAATAGAAAACATTTTAAGAGATAAGTTTCATTCTCTTTATAGCTTATAGTAATAATTAATTTCACTACCATAGTATACAATCATTAAAGATACGATATACATGAAATTTCATGGATTATTATTTTCCTAAAATTGCTCCATTTTAATTTGATTATTTATTTCAATCATATATCTTTTATTGCTAACATTATTTATCAATTGAAAACTAATAATTATTAATTAGCATTTAATTTGTATTACTATGATTGGGTATGAAATTAAATTAGTCAATAATTACTCGTATCATTCTCTTAATTTAGATTATTTTTTGCTACATAAAACATAGTGTATAAAGGATCGCGTAGAAGAGTATTATAGTTCTTGAGAAATGTTGAAGGACGTTTCAAATTGTAAAACTTTCGCTAAGCGTCCATCTGCGCCAATAACAACTGTTTTATTGATGAAATAAGTAAAGACATCAAAATTAAGTATAAAGGTATATGTATATTATAGTGCAGTTAACCTTATCACCAATAGGAAGTATTTTCATTTGTATAAATATGTGTACAGAAAATTCAGCTAATATCAAGTAAGAAAATTTAAAAATCTTTCATAGAAGACAGATTAAATTAAAACAAGTGGATATCGTTAGTAATTAATGAGAAGTGAATTAATGAGAAACGATTTTAGCAATTGAAATTTTTGTGAAATTTCATCAGATTAGATAGAGGGTTATGTTCTTCAATGAATTAAAGCAATGAAGAATAAGGAAATTGTTCACTTTTGATATGCGTATCTCTGATAAGTTTTGGAGAGATGAAAATCAAAAACAAAAAAGAAAAAGCGATTTTAATTAATTACCATGTCGTAATTGATCGTTGAGATGATGCGGTGAGTAATTTTGCCATGTAACTAATGCATTACGACGTTTACGCTTTTTCATTGTTGAGCTACCACGGATCAGTTTAGAAGCACTATCAACAGCCACAGTACCTTTGGTACATGGTGAGGGTGGTGGTACCTCATGCGTTTCTAAGTAGGTAGGTATAGGTCCGGAACGCACTGCTTCCAAGACAAGGCTTATTTCAGAAGCTGATTTTCGTAAATTGGACAAAAATTTTGGTACGTATAAATCACGGAATGATTCACGTAACGATTCACGAAATGTCAATTTCGGCGATAATAATGTGATGGATGATGGTAAAGTTGATTGTTGCTTGGATGGAGAAGCATTCTGATGATCATCATCTGAATTATCTTGATAATAATGGCAGTAATCATAGGATGAAGAACTTTGTTGTGGTAGTTGCAGATATTGCTGTTGTTTCGATAATTGTCCTTGTTCGTCTTTAATTTTGTGATATTTACGACGCTGATATTTTGGAGTTTCTGGAGCAATGAAAGTTTTATCTATTGAAACTTCTGGTGCCATTGCCATCATTTGATTCCAGCAAATCAGAATTAAGCAAAATACTTAATAAAAAATAAATTTTTTAAATTGAAACAGTTTATTTTTTTTTGTTGCTTATCGATAGCGATCGAATAGATCTTTACAACGTAAAACATAATCGTCCTAATTTTAATCGTCGTTTTGTAATCGTCGTAATTCTTTCAGATTCGTAACAAGAAATTGCAATCATAATAGGAATAGAATAAATGTTCTGGAATCGATGTTTATTTCTCTCTTAATTTGATAGTTTAAAATTTGTCCTGAAGCTTTCTCGTTTCCATCCAATTGTGATGAATTGGTAGTAGAACTCTGGTACTGTTGTAATCAAAGAAAATTAATATTTAACAAGCAAAAATTTGATTATCAGCAAACAAATTCCGAAAATTCGATTATTGGGATACGAAATTTTGAAAAATCAATTGCTGGATAGAAATTTGGAAAATTCAATTGCTGAGATGTAATTTATTTATAGCAAAATATTTGGGAAGATATGTTCTTGCATGATTTTCCGAACAATTGGTAAATAAGGAAACAATAAGGCGTAGTAGAATCTGCCGATAAACTACTCTATTTGAATGAATGCAAATGAATTTAAGGCCACTTTTGACATTTCAATAATATAGGATTTATGTTTATTAGAGAAAAAATAATTTTCCAAGCGAAAGAAAAAGGTCGTATGATATCGACAAAATGATACCTTACTACTATTATTATTGTCTCGATACATTTCTAGTATAGCAATGAGAATTTGGTTTAAAAGAATGCAAAGTGTCAAAATTAATGACTTGAAGAAAAACGCTCTGTCCAATGATATTTGTCAGTATCCGTCTGGTTGAAAACGGTGTAAACTATTCGAAGAAAGAAGAAATTAATTATAATATGACAAATTAATTTCTCAAGATAGTTTGAGTGAATATTTTAATTATCTGTAATAGCACATTAAATATTCAATTATAAATTTCTGATCAAAAATTCGATTTAATTTTCTATTCTCAGGAAAGAAAATTTAAATGTTAAATATCATTACATTCAATCAAGCAGTGTTAAAAATTCAAAATATACATCATAGTTGAAAATTCATGATCTATAAAATTTTGAGAAAACTTATTATCCCGATATTATGAAACCAGTAGGCGATTGTCATTTATTTTACTTTTCATTGCTTGAAATATGATAGCCGTTGCTTTAAAAATGACAAACATAAGTGGGAAGAGTATGCTAATAATCGTTTCATCTATCGGGACGATGTCAACAAGCAATCGACCGATCATGTCATACTTCTAAAAGAGGAACAAACAAAAAGCTCATTTTCATTTTTCCCACATGGATAAGTTTTTTTTTTTTTTTTGAAAATTTACACCATCAGAAAAAGTTTGAAATTTGATCAGATCTAAATAAAAGATCTAAAATTCTTTTATTTTATTGCAGATGAAACGAAAGAGATCAATTTGAAAAGTTATGATAATGACAGTGATAAAACAAACAGACAGAACGTTGTAATTATGTTGTGACAAAAATGATCATTAGCGATGTATTATGATATGTCTTCCTAATTAATAAGATTAGTTTATTGTAATTATAATTATTCCTTACTATTATTTTATCATTACTTTACTAATAATGCTTTATTAGTGTTATTGATTTTTGTCACAACTTTGACCGCTAGGACATATCATTCGGGATGCAATAGAAGAAATACCTTAAATAAACGTGTCAGGTTTTTTTTCCTGTGTAGCAGACAAATGAAAATTTAAAAAAAAAAAGCCGATAGGAAAGAGAACAGGTGACTTTGAAGAAAGGAATAGCTGAAGAGGAAAAAATCTATTCCACCAATACTATTACATACCACCAGCTCTTTGGCTCACCATTGAACGTTCCAGACAGATTGTTTCAGTTCAGTCAATCAAATCCTAAAGTGAAACCTAAAAGTTAATGTGACTATGTCGCTTAAAAAAATGCTAATAAAAATGGAAAGGAATGGCAATTTGCAAAATCAATGATAATAATAATAATAATAATATTAGTAATAAATAATAATGATAATTATAATTATAATAATTAACAAATAATAATCATCAATAAATTAAGTGTTATTAAGTATCCAAAGAGTGAACTATGCGTGGGAACCGATGAGAAAATGATTAAATGTTGAAAATAAAGAAAATATGTTTCTATGTGAATATATCATCGTCATTCCATTTGCGCAGCATACTGATCGAATGAATTCAAAGAGCGCTCGTACAATGAAATATAAAGAGAAGAATGGTTTTCAATTTTGTAGCATCAAACATCATCAAATTGAGGAAGAAATTGCATTTCGGAAAATGGCAAAAGAAAATGCGTTGGTAGTAAACAACAACAAAATTATGCTATAACCAAAACAATATTAGCTTGAAGAATGAAAGGAAGGAAAATATGAAAAATGTGAATAGAAATTATATGAAAGAATAGAAATGCCGTAAAGTAGAATTCAGAAAACAGGTGGATTTAAGGATTGACGGCAGATAGAGATAGGATGAAAATTTTAAAAGCTAATAAGTTAGAGAGTAAGCTATATAGTTTGATAGATATTGAAATTGAAGAGGAAACTGAAAGGGCTAAAGGAACGAAACTAAAGAACTTTTGTCTCCTTTACTCTTCCTGGATCAATTTAACATTTAATTCCTCTTTTCACTTTGTTTTCCCTTCACCTCTCTGATGAATACTGACGTGTTATGTTGGTCCTCTAACAAAATAAAAATTTTGTTCGAGGAAAAGAGAATTTGTGAGGTAAGTTCATGAACTGAACAACTAAACAATTTCTGTTATCACATCATTAGCATCTCATCATCATCATCATTATCATTAACTGCCCTTATCTTTGCTTATCACAACTACTGAAAATTTCCTCTGTCCCTTCCTTCGTCCACCCTATCTTTATCAATTTCTTCGCAGTTTATTTCTCTTTTAATATCCTATTTTTCGAAGGAAAAAGATTTGTTCCTATTACACCGTTTATTTATCTTTATGATTTATTAGCTATAGCTGAAAAAGAAGCTGCTCAAATTTTTGGACTATTCAAATTGATCCCATAAATGGTATGTATGAATTATTGATAATTTATTAAGCAAATTCTTCAACTTATCAGATTTTGTTTATTCAGCCTGCTTTCTCCCATCGAAGAATTCTCATAGAACCAATCCACGCCGATATATTTTGAATATTTTCCTAGTAATTTCAATAAGCGATCGCATAAGTATATTTTTTGCATTTCCAAATTACATATTGAAGAAAGCTTACAAACTGTTAAAGATAATTTTTTTTGATAACTTTCTCTCTATCAAATAAGATATGTAGATGATAAACACAAATGATATGACAATAGAATATGATAATGATGATAATGATAATAAATGGATCAGAAGGATGAGTCAAAATTTTCTGAAGGAAAATATAATAAGATAATGATAATCAGTAAATTTAGCACATTTCACAATAACTTATCTCTCCTTATCTCTCTCTCTCTCTCTCTCTCTCTCTTCCTCATTATCTCGTATGATAAGAAGTGCGAATTCATAATTATCATTCATATTCAAACCGTGTATGATAAATGAATTTTAATGTTCTATCATATTCAGAAATCCAATTATTTGAATTGATAATAAAATTGTATAATTTCAAAAATTTTAATATTGAAAAAAATAGGAATGAATTTTTTCAAAACTTCTTATGCAAATATTTACCTGTTTTGCTCAAAAGATGCATTTGTGATTGTATCGCAGATGGAATATATGCGCTGATCCACTCTATAATTTATCGAACCACAAAGATTCCTTTTAAAATTGTCTTAATTCAAAATCGAAAAACTATCTTAACTAATAAATCCTTTATAGCATATAATTTTTATTTTTCTCACTCATTGATTTATAGATACTGTTAAATTGCATATTTAATTAAATTATTAGCAAAACTTTTAAAAGAAAAATAGAGAAAAAATTTTGTTGATAAAGTTGGAAATATTTTTTTCCCACTTGCTAGAATTTCAACATTTTTTTTTTTGAAAATGATAATTTCAGTATTTTTGAAATGATTCGATACATATCAAATCAACCTGAAATATTTAATTAAAAGTTAATTATCAATGAATGAATAACTATTCAAATTGTTTACACTGAGAGTTAAAATAAAATTTCCAGTTTTCCCGAACGATTAATCATTCATTTCGAACAAATAGATTAAAATGAAAACCTTGTACAATTAATATTAGGCTTTCTTATTGATACTGCCTAATTTTTCGTATGCTAATATTATTCGTGTAATTTTATTTCCCAAAGAAATTATACATTTTTGAAATATCTGATAATTTCATCAAATTTCTAAAATTTAATTTTTGCAACAAATTAACCAGCCTAGCTTAGCCTATCAGTAATAAATCTGATCGAATGGTAACCCTGTTGAGTACCACATGAAAATCTAAATGACCAGCATTGTTTTCTAATTATAAAGCATTTTTGCAGATGTTTTATACGGCGCATAAATTGCATTATTAACTCTAATCCTAAAATTTTATTCCTTTCAGCTACATCCATATGGGAATAATAACAAATTTAATTAACGGTATGGAGGGTAAAAAAAATTAGCGTTTTATTACCAGCTATGAACAATGGATGGATTGATTATATTTAAAAATTCAATTTCAACCATTTCATATTTTAAATAAAATTACGCATCACTTGGGTCTTTCGTGATACGATTATAAGCGTATTGGTGAAGATAATTTCTTGCATTTTATAAAGAATTGCTTAGATTCTTCCTAAAATATATCAAATCTGAATTTCAGCATTTTTTTTTGGATACTTTGTAAAATTTGCATGAAATCATTTAAATTAAGCATAGTTGAAGAAAGACAAAAATTTCCGGAAAACTGTAAAAGTGATAAGGAATTCGAATTCGAATATAATATGTTTATTTTATTTGAATATCGTAGATTGAGTTACAATTCTAAATTC